GGGGGGGGGGGGGGGGGGGGGGGGGGGAGGGATTGCCACCTTTACAGCCTCATAGCTTACTCTGTAAGCGGCTCCTTTGCACTATTTCGTAATGGTCATCATTTCCTTTAAGAGCAAATGTACTATCAGTTTCCTGATTCAAGAAGTGATAATTAATCAGATTAGCAAAACAAATTAAAAGAAAAACCCGGGTTGGAATGCACCCGGCTTGTCGGTGCAGTGCAGTCGTGCATTTTTGCACCGTACTTGAAATACTCAGGTCGTTAACTGCATAAGTGGTTCTTGCTTTACACTTACTTTGTGCGAGCTCACTAGCGTAAATTACCGTAAATTTTGCATTAAAAAAAAGAAAAAAAAACCAACCGTTTTAGGGATGTAAATAACAGTATAATGGAACTGATGATTCTTATCTACGCATGCAAAACATCGATGGCCAAAACAATAACGGTAGTACTGCCATATCTCCCGTACAGTAAGCAATGTCGAATGCTGCGAAGATCCTCAATACCAATGAAGCTCATTGCTGACATGATTTGTAAATCAGGTGATTTTTTCCTTGTAAAAGGTAATTTATTCGGTACTTCAAATCAGCAATCAGGAAAGCTAGGAAGCCGAAATTTTGAGCTGATGTTTTCTACCCATCTGCATTTCTACAGGTTTAAATTTAGCTTCCATACTCGCCCAGTTCTCATGTGCGGTCAAGTGAAAGTTTTGGCGTGGAATTAGTGCCTAAAAACAACTGTATTTTGCATAGCGTAACCGAGTCGAACCGAGCCCAGTTTTGGTAGTTGGCCAGTTTTGCTGTTAAAAACCTAGCATAAAATTTTCTGGATTATTGCTATTTTTGGCTATAGTGAAAGCATAAGTTTTGATGTCTTCAAGAGTTCTATTGGAATTTAGCCAAAAGGGGAGTACATCGAAATGTGATGAGTGGAACTGACAATTGATGGTTTGTGGAAACCATTTCTTGTTGGCGATAAACCAGATCCATCAATTTCCCTTTTCCTTCTTTATTGCCGCACCGAAACGTTTTAATCCTTCCTGGTTTCGGTGTGTACAACTTTTCGCCTTCTCCTACACACACACACACACCCATATACACAATCGCGTGCACACATTCACACACACACTAAGGAAATCGCATGAAAACTGTCGACTTTTTAACATTTACTGCATTGCTGAGCGCTAGTCAGTTTGACGTTGATTCGTACCACCACAGCTAAACAAGACAAATGTGGTGCAGTGTCTTCTTAACATACTTGGAGCTGCCTTCCGTGCCTTGGCACTGCCTGGTCCGTTGCCACTCCCACGTCACACCACACTGAGGTACCGAAGTCGGAATTTTGTGTGTAAGATTGAAAAATTCGGCCTCCAGGAGATGATCCTGGATGGCGCTTCATATCAAAAAAAAAAACTTTTAAACAGTATTTTTTTAGGAGCAACGCGGGTAGTTTCACTGGATCTGTACAGGAAGGAAATTCAAGGGTTTTTTTCGGTCCCGGTCGACAATCTTCGAGCATCGCCTTTTTTGTTACAGTACATAAAAGAAAATGTTCGTTATCTGCTTTTTGTGTTTTTTTTTTTGTTTCATTATATTCAGGCGGCCGTATTATTGAAGTAGTTACGCTGTTATCGGTCATTAATGGAAACAATGAAAAAATTACTGGGTTGAGTTTTCTTTTTTTCAGATACCTGATTACAAGAATGCCATAATTGTTGCAAAAAATCCCGGTGTCATGAACAAGGCAACATCGTATGCAGATCGTCTTCGGTTAAGTAAGTGATCGTAACTGGTTTACACATGTTGAATCAGCTTTTCAGTTATTAGTATGTGGGAAAGGGGAGGTGGGGAAAGATTTTCTGAAATAAAAAGCGTACATGTCCATTTAGGATGAATAAGTGGTCTTTTCTCAGTGGAGATTTTCCGCCAGAACTACACTGCAGATAGTTTTCGGAGTTACTTGTCATGAAGATATTTGTAGCCTATACTCCTTAGTTCCAAAATTTTCTACGAAAGCTGAAAGCTCTGTCGAAATCTCATTTCGCTTACAGATTCTGATAACAGAAAGTTATAACAGAGAAGAATGGGGAAAAGACAAAAAAAAAAAAAGGAAAAGGAAAATTAGAAAATTTTTGAGATTATTATAATGGTAAGAAGTGTTATGAACCATTAAGTTGTATACATTTATTGCCGTTAGCACAGTTGGACCTCGTCACTACGGTGATTGTGGTAAAAAGCCATAAAGTTCTTGGCGTATGAGATTAGTAATGGTTTAGATGGCATTAAACTGCGAAGGGGTACAGATTCTGGCAAATTTGTGGATATCGAGACATATTTTTTGGCAATGTTTCACGGTACGAACCACTGGCAGCTTAACCGGCTGATGTTAATGTAGTAAAGATTACGCAGCTAAGCACCGAACACCGGAATGCGAGGCAAAATGCAAAAAGTACGTTATGGAATTAAAATGAAATGAAAAACAAGAAGCATAGGTTCTGATAGATACCCGCATTGTTTTTGGTCCTGTTTCTGTATTTGACGCTCGTTATATCGGCTGTCTTCTAGCAGGCACGATGCTGCCACTTTTGAGTTATTTGTTCATCCATTCTGCCGCTTCTCGCTATGCAGTACTTTTCTTTTGCAGTGCCTTCTCACCTCTCTTCTTGTTTTTGAAAGTTAGTAGTAGTTAAAGAGAAAGTAATGTAAAGAAAGAAAGAAAAAGGAAGAAGAAGGAAACTTGCCGTCTTCGAGAAGCAAAAAAAAGCGTGGAAGTAATTGCAGCGTATAGAAGGAAATCAAAAATTTTAAGGTCTTGCTGTTATACATGGCGAACAGAAAGATGTTGAGGAAAGTGGTTTGGAGGATGGTCGCCAGAGTCCGCCATTGGATGGCTCACCACATGAGAGTTTAGCTGCATTCGAATTATTTCCAGGTAAATGAATAATGACACTGTTTACGTGGAGAAACTGGTGCAGAAACGTGTGACTTTTTTGAATTTTATTCAAAAATTTCGTTTGTTAAATGCTTCCACCTTCAGCATGAGGCATCCTGAGCGATTGATGCATTTTGTTTCGGTTTTGTGGGGGAGAAAATGAGACTACTATATGTGTTGGCCATTCGTCTCGTGTATTTTCGTACACTTATTCTTTTAAACAGATGAACAAATTTGCACCAGTCTTGGAGACACTGTTCTACAGATTCCAGAAATTCATTAGTTTTACCCTCGACGGTGTTGTAATTTAGAATTTAGATATTTTGTGGTTACGGGAGAGGTTTTAAAAAGTAAACAATAAAAACTGAGTTGAAATGTTTCCGTCCATTCAGTCGGTGTAAGCTTGATTGATTTGGATGCCACAGATTAGATTGTTGCCCCTGTGTGTATGTATCAAATCCGCATCCTGAAACAAATATCCCAGGTGTAAGCAATCGGATGCGAAATGCATTGACTTGCTACCACAGAGGGTTGTTTTACAAATCCGTTCTTCTATCTGAAAATCACTACCGATCTTGAGTTTTGGTCTTACTCGTTGCCGGCGGCGATCTTATGAATTCGATAACTGCGTATGATCTTCGCACTTTACAGCTAATGCTACTTCTCATCTGATCTTATTGGTGGCTAAACTGCTGAGGCGATGTCCTGTAGTTTCTGCAGTAAAATCTGTACTGCTTGATCATTGCTGAGTGTTCTGGTTTGAAGAAATATTCATTTTTAAATACAGAAAGTTAACGGCCATGTCCATTTTATAGAAATTTACTGCATCGCTTGACGATGGGGCTGATTGTATGTGTTCGTGCTAAATCGTATGACTGTGTGTAATAGTAGTAGTATGCAGTGCTACAGCATAATATACACTGAAATATCTTTTAGCTCAAGTTGCAAAAGAAAAGCCTCCGTTGACTGTTGTTGGAGATGTTGGTGGTCGTATTGCCATCATGGTGGTAAGCTGCTTTTTTGATTTCCCACTTAGAAAATGTTTTAAGAAATATTTTTTTTAAACGCAAGTTCAGTAGATACCTCTGAAATGCGGGATCTCGGTTTTGGTGAGTAATTACGAGTT